CTTTACCTACGTTTGTCTTTGATAGGATGATGTGATTGAATGTGTTAGTCTGTATCGGCAGTAAATTGCAAGCATGACTAGGAATACTCCCCAGGGAGTGGAGTAAGTTTCACATTGTGCTTTTTTCATTATGGATCCGATGAATATTCGAATTCTAAAGGTATATTCTAAATCACGCTTATGATATCAAATAGTTATTAATCAAGTAATAACATCATAAACACAAACATGTGAAAATACTATATAATGTACCTAACTCATGTGTTCAGTTTGGTTGTGTGTGCTCAACGCCGCGACAATTGGACATGCCTACATGCATTCAATTTCAAGAACTCTGACCCTTTTTTCATGTATTAGAACATCTATTGTATGATCTATACCCCACACCGCACACAATAATCGGGAATATTTAAAACTAATAAATAAGTCTTGTGTTTCACTTTAGGCCTAAATCTAGGCCTAACCACGGCCGCCGAAAATGATGCTGATGTGTGTATATTGACCATGGAGGAAATATATTAAGATGTATATTATGGATGTGTATGCCTAGGAAATGCATTATCAGGTGAGTTGGAGAAAACACGTCCTCAAAAGCTTTATACTAATCAATCTGTCACTGCAAAAGACTTTGCAAGTGTGGTAGAAGTATAGATTACTTTCCTCCACTGCACAGGAGAAACAATCATACCCTACGAGCAGCAGACGCGTTACAAGTTAAGTGGCCAGTTTTATCTAAGCGGGACCAGTATTAGCAGCTAAAATCAACCTGGAGTACCAATTTTAGTAGTGCGGCGGACCGGTTTTGGCGGCCAAAATATGTCCGCCGGACATGTTTTGGTCCGGACTAATTTTGGCGTGACAGGTCTACTGTACCAACATAAAAACTTGTAGGCCTACGAAATGAAATTTGTTTAACTGACGTAAATGCAAAAGTATAAACATACACACCACCATGTAATACAGTAACATAATGGTAGTAGTATAGTAATAATAGTAATAATAATAATAATAATAATAATAATGATAATAATAATTAACTATCATTATTATTACTATTAATTATAACACCATGTGATGATGATGATAACAATAATAATAATAATAATAATAATAATAATAATAATAATAATAATAATAATAATAATCACAAGTTTAAGCCTACATATCAACATAGGCCTAGGGATATAAGCCTACATACATATAAGAGCAATAAAATAATAATAGTTATTATTTATTATCATAATAATAATAATAATAATAATAATAATAATAATAATAAGTCTGAACTAAAGAAATTGTTTATTTTTGCCACTTCCCAAACACATTTTTTGTTCAAAGGTTCCGTTTATGATCAGATTGACGGGGTGTCCATGGGTTCCCCTTTAGCCCCTGTTCTGGCAAATCTATTCATGGAACACCATGAAAGGTATGGCTTGAACAGTATAAAGGTCCCAGCGTTTTATTTTATAGACGTTATGTTGATGATATTTTTTGTTTATTCCGCAATGAGGAGGACGTTTCTATATTTTTTGAATATCTTAATTCACGTCACCCTAACATTAAGTTTACTTTTGAGAAACAGGTTGAACAAAAACTTACTTTCCTGGATGTGTTAATTTCCAAATCAAAACATGGGCTAGCATCTACTTCTGTCTTCCGGAAACCTACATTTACTGGGCTCCTCACTAATTATTTTAGTTTTTGTTCATTCAATTACAAACTCGGACTGGTCCGGACGCTAGCTGACAGGACATTCAAAATTAATTATAGCTGGATGGGTTTTCATGAAGACATTAAAGCCTTAATATCCATCTTAAGGAAAAATAGATTTCCGCTACACATTATCAATAAAATAATTTCGAAATATCTTGATTCTGTATGCTCCCCCAAATAAACGTTCAAAACCACCTGAGGCCATTGGAGATGCCACACCCATCACCATCCTTTATTTCAAAATTCCATATATCGGCCCCTTTTCTAACATTGCCTCGCATAAAACTGGTTTCCTTTCTAAGCAATTATGTAATGGTTTTGAATTTAAGTTGGTTTTTTCTTCATTTAAAATCAAAAATTTGTTTTCAGTGAAGGATCCTGTCCCTGCCGGTCTCCGCTCTCGTGTTGTATATAAATTTGTGTGCGGACTGTAATGCCAGCTATGTCGGAGAAACTAGCCGACACTTCTCAACACGCGTGCGCGAGCACTTGGCAATGGATAGGAACTCTCACATATTAAAACACCTTAAGAATTCACGCAAATGTATGCAAACTTGTAGCAAGGACTGTTTCCGTATTCTTGACTCCGCCCCATCAATTCATCATCTCAAAATAAAGGAGGCATTACATATTCAATGGGAGCAGCCTTCACTCAACGAACAACTTTACCATGTTAATTTAACTTTGTCATTCTGATTTTACTTCATTCGTTTACCATTAATTATACATTGTTTTTATTCATGATCTTGGTGTTTACAACTTGATACGGTTGAATTACGTATTGATTGACGTATTACAAACTTCACTTCGTTTAAATAAGGTTGCCTATATGGAATCTCTGTACACTGATGATGACAGGTAGGATCTGTCGAAACATGTATGTAGCGTAAAGCCTAGCAATGGCTAGGCCTAATGAAGTTTTCAGGCATTGCCTGAAATGATCGTTCTCAAAAGTATCGTCATATTTTTGAATGTTATTAATAATAATAATAATAATAATAATAATAATAATAATAATAATAAGAAGAAGAAGAAGAAGAAGAAGAAGAAGAAGAAGAAGAAGAAGAATGTAGGTGGTCTTTAGTGTATCCGAATTAGTATTTACTTTTATTGTGTTTAAGTTATACTCATTTTATCATTGAGTTTGTTAATAAAATGGTAACTGTAGTGTCATTGTCGCTTCAAGGGTAATATATCTGAAATCATGAAGGAACACAGAGTAACCTACAGTACAAGAAATGATGAAACACAGAAATTATGATACATTGTTTATATCTTCTTATAGGTCTATAGAAAACGTCCCACAGCACTTAGGCCTAAAGTTTATTCGTATAGTCATCTTCATCACCATTATTGTCACAATTATTAATTATTGTCATTGTTTGTCATGATAATTATTATAGGCCTATCTTTACTTATACCGTGCTTGTGCATTTACGTCAAGTAAACACATTTGATTTCGTACAACTACGTGACTGACAATTTTTTAAAAGAAGTAAGGCCTAGGCTAGAGCTATACAGTTTAGTTTTGTAATCATAGCCTAATCATTATTTACTTCTTAAATATATATATTTCAGAATTATAATAAAAAGGGGATTCAAGTTTGTGGTGTTCAACTACTTGACTCGTCATTATACACTCTTACCGGTTCTTCAGATATGAAACACTAAGTGTAAAAAAGTTCTTTATTTCGAAGTGTTGTGTAAATATTTATAAAAACTCCTTAACGAACCTAAAATGGTTCGAAGGGCAGTTTAACGAACCTATTTTTTTTTTCGAAACTTTAAAGGTGCTACAGGGGTTCCATATACAATGCAACTGAAGAACTCTTTTTTTTTTCTAAGAGTGTAGGTTTGTCAGTGAACCTACGCGTGCATCCTATTATTTGAGCCTTGCTTATCGCTCTGTCGAAAATAAGAAACTACTAATGAGTTTATTGCCGAATCAGGAAATTGATTTTTTGAAAATATAGCACCACCAATCGTCACTACTTCAAAAGCCCAGAAAAAAAAAGATGGCGTCCTGCATTATACTGGAAGATTGAATAGATACACCTTAAAACAATGTAAATAATCATCATGCCATTACTCTTTTTAATTTAATATAAATATAATTATAACCACACCCCCACCCCAAAAATGACCCATAAAAAAGCCTGTCAACCCACGCATATCCACATGACCCCGGAATTTCCCCCTAATGATAAGCCTGTCACGCTGGTCATACGGCGCCTGTTCATCAACAGAAAAATAATAGTAAAATAGTATCAAAAAGTACAAATTGATTTAAATGTGCACGATTCTTAAAACTGTGCAACAATCTCCTTGCACAGTTTGCAAACTATGCAGAATCTTGCAGAATTTTAAAATTGTGCAAAGGAATAATTGCACAATTTTCAAATTCAATACAAAGGGGATTTTACAATTTTCACATTTGTGCACGACAGTGACAACAATCAACAATTCATTTTCCCACTAGCAGTTAAATGCGTGCTCATAAAGTAGGCTCAAATTAATTGACGATTTGAAAAAAAGGTAGAACCATGAAGATATAAAATAATACTTCCACGGTTGAACCAAATTTAGGTCTTAGTATTCTACTCCTAAATTTCTCTCGCCTTTTTTTTTTTGTAATTTGTGTGAAGAAAGTGACACTGATAATCATTTAAATGCTGTACAATTCGTAGTGGTCAAAACTAAACTTAGTTTATTATTATAAGAGAAGATTTAGTGCTCTCTTTTGTACATGACGGACATTTTTCTTTCTCTCTGATGGTAGCAAAGAAATTATATCTGTCTCTTATACACATCTAGATGTGTATAAGAGACAGGTACAAGAAATGATGAAACACAGAAATTATGATACATTGTTTATATCTTCTTATAGGTCTATAGAAAACGTCCCACAGCACTAGGCCTAAAGTTTATTCGTATAGTCATCTTCATCACCATTATTGTCACAATTATTAATTATTGTCATTGTTTGTCATGATAATTATTATAGGCCTATCTTTACTTATACCGTGCTTCTTTTAAACGCAAGAAAGAAGTTCTTTTTTGTTGGAACCTGAATTCCATGTGAACCGAATTGTACACAATGACAATAAATCGATCTTGCAATTTGACTTATCCTTTAAAAAAACCTAGCTTTTTCAATTTTTCTCTTTCTTGTGGCTAAATTTTCCCTGACACCCATGACGTCTGCCCTTTCTTTAATTTCATTATACACATAGGCCTAGTACACTCTTTTAAATGGAAATGGTTATAAAGAACTGTAAAATACTTACACCACTACCGACAGCCCATCCATATATCATACGTCTGCAATTCCAAAAGTCATCAGGCATATTACTTGTGTAACAAATGCCGGACCAGTTGACATTCTCACTATTGCAGCTATATGCAATGAGGTGATGGACCAGAGATTCATGGCCTTCTTGGACAATAGTTTCAAACTATAAGAGCAAGATTAAGAAGGAAATGTTATTTAGCTAAATCCAGGCACTCACTGCTTCGTACGACCGTCGACCAACGAATCAAACTCTGATACTTGTGAGCGTTAGACGACCACTGGTGTATCTGAAAGTCTTGAAATGGGGGTGCTGATGGGGGCTTGACGGTGAAGTGGGGGCTCGATGTTCTGTTGAGGGGCAATAACTCGCAAAATAAGGTGATTTTAGGTGATTTTTAACTACTTAACAATGATATTTTTAGAAAGAAACATACTGGGTTGATTTCCTCTAAAATAATGTTAGAGGGAGTCCAATTTTACAATAATAGACATAATTATGTACGCCTTAATTGCGTTGAAGTCCCGTCATCGGCGTAAGCATAGCATATGATTAATGTTTACGAATCGGCGTAGGCATAGACACTTCGAAAATATTATTCTTAAAGGTTTATTTTATGACGTTATTGAAGCTGTGTTCCTGAAAGAAAGAAAGACAAATGTTGATAATTTGTTGAAACGAAATTTAAGCAACTGAACGAAAAAAAATGCTGGAATAGTACATACAGATTTTTTAATTTTAAAACACAGTTTGAAGATATATTTTTTTAATTGAATTTCTTTCCATGTTGGTCTTTTAGTGTAATAGTAAATATTGTATTGTTTGTCATTGTTTTTATAATTTTACCTTTCATTGACCTTCCCCATTGCCTACGAAGGAAGAGGCAGGGTATTTCAAGAGCGCGCGTCTGTCGGTGTGTCGGTCTGTCTGTGTGCCTGTCCTGGCGCATAACTCAAAATTACTGGACTGATTTAATCCAAGGTTTTACACAATGACAATATTACATGTATCTCGGTCCTCCTCGAATTTGAAGCTGATCGGAGGTAAAATGTAAATTTTAGAACGTTATTTATGTATTTTCGGTCATCTCTGAGAGACCCAACACGAGCGGATCGTTCGACCGAGTCGATTGCCAAGGCCGAGCCGAGTTGAGCTGACCGACCTCGGACCGACCCGAGCGGATCGACTATGTCGCATTTTGGCCGACAAACTGGAAGCGGTCTGGACGACGTGCAAGCCCGATTAATAGGCTTGCCACCTGTGATGATAGAACTCGTTTGGCGGATGCAGTGAAGAAGTAAGATGCAGATTTTAGATATTTTCGGCCGTAGATATCACAATCTACAGTCTCAATTTAAAACAAAATATATTTGTGTATAATAATAGATTCTGAAAAAAAAAAGTATTCAATAAATTCACAAATAATTATAAAAAGGGGAGATTCGGGCCCAATACAATCGATTAACTGTACATATAATACGTGCATCTTTACCGCTTGTCTAAACTTCACCTGACAGGTATGTACAATAGTATAATGCATTTAGAATTGTTAGTGTATGTAACTAAAATGTAACATAATATGCCGATATACTTACTCGAACAACATGAACTGGGTTGTCAAATGCTGGAACTGCAAAGGAAGTGCACCAGTAGGTCGTGTCAGAGTCACTAGGTACAGTCACCTGCCAAAAAAAAATATAACAGGACATCAATTGATAAGAATCTATTTGATCATTAATAGGAAAGGATAAGATAGGAGTATTTTTGGTATGACTCCCACCAACTATGTCTGAAGATTTGGTTTCAGTAGGGTCCATCTGGCAGTGCACCAGGAGACCACCGCTTTCCAAAAAAGTGTACTGCGTTCTTTAATTAGCCATATTGCACGCAGGATCAACGTTGGTTGGAATTGTACTTGCATATTTTTAATAAGATCTCCACAGGATGCATGCCCACTCAGAGTGGCTACCACAACATTAGGCGACAGAGCTAAACTTCTCTGTCACTGTGATATTATTATTATTATTATTATTATTATTATTGAAACCATCTTGTTACGAGTTCTAAAGAGGAAATACATAAGTTGCATAGCCGTCGGAAGCATTTTGCAAGTGGTCCGGCCATTATAGTGAGGGGGTGTTGCCTGTCTCTTATACACATCTAGATGTGTATAAGAGACAGGTATATTAAAACTATTATTTATTATGATAATAGTAATAGGCCTATTATCCATTTTATTAGAATTAGTTACTCTAATGGGAACCTCTTTTAACTCTAATTAAGTTTAGATAGACGCGCCCACTAAAAATATAAAATTGTTGCATATTCTTAAGTTGTATGTTTTAAATATTATTTTAAAACATGATTTTAATACATAGATGAAAAAAAAACACACAATTTCGCTGTACAGTATGCAATAAATCTGCTCCACAGGATAATATCAACACCAATACCATACATACAAATATGTTTTAACCACACAAGAATAATATCACCTGCCTCTCTCCCAGGAGTGGCGCCAGGACCTGCCCGACGGAGGGGCTAAAGGCCCCGACGGGGGGGGGGGGGCGAGGGGAGCGAATCGAGCCTCACTTGGCTGGGGGCAGGG